TGTATAAAGGATACAGGTCCTCTTCAGGACCCTGTCTCTGGCCAAATCAGGGTGCTCCAACATGCATCTTGAAGTGAGTGAGGCTGAATTCCTCTTCCTCTGTACACTCTTCTGAGTTGCTTACTCTTTCTGTAGTCTTACTCTTTCTGTGTCAGAATGACCCAATGAAGTGACTGAACTACTACAAGAATGCATAATCCAACAAAAAATGGCATTTAATACCTTTCTGGGTGATTATCTGCCACCAAAGTTCTGCTGGTCTTTGAAAGCTGGTGCACAGTTTCAGCATAGTCTTCTACAGCTTGTTCCAAAATCTGGTGTTTCTTCAGCATGGACACCGCACTCTGTTCATCCTGTAATGGTGACAGAAAACGACAGTCAAGTCCCCGACTCCAGAAAAAGACACCACACAGCAAGTTCAACTTGGTGTGTGTGCAAAGAGCGGTAGCCAGAAAGATTATGTATAAAGGACTGTCCCAAGTACAGCTTGAAGACAAGTTGTTCTGACAAGGTTATATTAACAGTTGAGTTACAGCAACTGGCACCCACGGAAAGCAAAATAACAAGTGAAAGAGTGAATGTAACAACCTCTCTGGGATACAGAACAAAATTCCATCAGCTGTGCATTGAGCACGTTGAACCTCCTCTTCTATGAAGCCTTCTGTGTATTTACACAACACTGGTGATTGTGCAGGGCTCAGAAAAATGGAACAGTTTTAGGAATGTCACTTGTCAGGCTTTTCAATGACAGCCTGGGTCAAAGAAAAGAAATCCTACGGAGGCCATGCCAAATGATTCGCCACCAAAGTGCCTGGAGAAATTCCGATCAAAACTTTCCATGCATTGTTATGATTAAGAAGATCAACCCCCAGCTCTCATTGTTAACTGGTATTGTAAATAAGCCTTTTCATTAAAATGTTGTTTGTGATGTACTATTCACGTTAATATTCCTTTTTATTTGCACTGTTTAAATATAAGAAAGAAAATAAATCCTTTTTAACTGAAGACTGAACACCCATGGAATGTGTTCCACTGAGACAAAGCTCAGTTTTATTTTATCAGGGCAACAAACACAGTCCATTTATGTAAATAACAAATAAGATAAAGAACTCTAACACCTCCTTGAAAAATAGAAGTTCAATTACTCTTTGGTACAGTCTGATGCTGCTCTGATTTCACTTCACTGGGAGTAAAAGCTGACAATTGATGGTATCAGTTGAGTGACCATCAGGCCTGTTTCATGGTCAGGTGCATCGCGCTGTTCCCAGTGCTTCAAAACTAATACGGAACTTGACCTAACTGGACTGTACTGGTAACAGACCTCACAGCAAAGGAAGGCACACAGTTGCCATCCACAGTCCGAGGATGCTTTGCTGACTCAGTACAGCAAGGCCTATCCTCCACACTATCAGAGATGTCATAACAGATAGAAGAGATGATCACTTGAGGTTTCACAAGGGAATCAAACTTGTTTATGTTACCATTACAATAGCAACATATTAAATTATGTCACCTGCCCCCCTCTAGCTAAGCAATTAAAACCAACCTAGTGTCGCTGTGGAGCTGCTCACCTTGGCTTTCTCTTCTGACATCATGTAGAGCTCCTGCTCACTCATCCAGGCCTCAGCCTCGGCAGCATCAAAGTAATACTGCTGTGCTCTGTGAGACTCCTCTAAGCGCTTGTGGCGTTTCTCTGTCTCCTCGATTAGGAGGTTCCACAGCTGCTGCAAGTCTGCAAGTCTCTGCTGAATTGCTTCAGCATTAGGGCTACTCTCTGTGATAATGTTTTGACTCCTCTCAAAGATGTCATCGATACGAGGCTGATGTCCCTGGATTTCTTTCTGAAGGGTCTACATGGAAGAAAAGCAGACTGATGAGACACTGCACCAAACAAAAAAGAAATGCCAGCCGGGCGTCTTTACTCTAGAGGGGCAGCTGCACACATGCCATCAGCTCATGTGGACGAACCAGGGCTGTGCCCTCCCTGAACATGCCACCACCTGCTGGTCACATCGCCCCGCCGTAGCACCCATCATTTTACACCAAGCCTTTCCTTCCTCAATTAGTCAGGACTAAGGAGAAATAACAGGTATGGAGCTCCAACAGCACCTACTTACCTGATTTTTCTTTATTAGTAGCTGCACAGTCTGGAGGTTGTGTCCATGATCAGTAGATGTAGCTATAGGCATCCTCTCCCCGACCCACAACTGAAAGGAAGACGAGAAGAGCCCGTATGATTTCAAGCAGCCCCAGACACAGTTAGGGCAGCAGAGAGAGGCTGGTGCACACAAGATGCAAAAAGCAGCATTACTCAAACATACTGCTGAGAGACACGATGGAAAGGTTTCTTCCTGTGATAGCTCTGCAGTATGTATGACATTTTCCTATTGTCTGGGGAGTGGGATTTCTTTTATACTCACAATTTCATCTTCCACATCTCGGTTGAACTGGTGGATCTCTTTGGAGGCCAGCAGGTTTGCCTTTCTTTCATTCAAAGGTTCCAACAACTCCAAAAACTTCTTTTCTACAGTAAGGCGTTTGCCATCTACTTCATCTGTACTCTTCCCTTCTTGACTTAAAGCCCTTGCCTGGCTTTGCAGCTCCTCTATCTCCTTCTTACGAACATCCATTTGATTCTCTAGCATCTAAAAAGAAACATGGCAAAAAGGTCCTGAAAACCGGGGTAAAAGCAGTTGATATGACTGTATTGAATACACCCATAGCTTCCTAAGAAGGAAGAAGAGATGCTGGTCAGTAAGGATTGACACATTAATCATTATTGTAGCATTCATATTGGAAGGAACAAGGCTTAAACACGATTCACAACTGTGGCCACCTGCCGATACGCCTCAGTTATGCCTGCTTGTGCAAATGGTGAATTTGGCCAATGACACAGCTGAATCTCTTCTACCGATGGTTCACAAGTTACCCCGAACAACTCTGGAGCACAGCTAATTGCACACAAGAGCCTCATTGCTCCCTGCTGTCCTTGCTACTCCTTGCTGCCTTTACAGCAGGGAATCAGGGACCGGCCAGCTTCGCACAAGTTTGAATCACAGGCAGGCAGCCATGCACAGAGAGGGAATGACTGGTGACTGGAGGACTACAGCGGGAGACAGAATAGAGATATTAATGTGGGAAAGGAAGGCAGTATAAGGTAGAGATTGTACCAAGAAATTTACGGCCAATTTGTTTCTGGGCGTATTTCTGGTTGTTCTTAAAGATACATGAAACAACAGGAAGAAAGAAAAGCAAATAAATTCTTTTCTAATGTGAAAGGATCCCCCGTGTGTTCCTTTGAGTGCAGATAGCTGCTGTCTGCCCACTCTGGAACCTGCGTTCTGTTTACCTGCTGCTTCTTCAACAGGATGTTGACACTGGTGAGATCTTTTCCGTAGTCGTCCGACTGAATTTGACTCTCCAAACCATTCAGCCACTTATCCAAATCAGCACAGCTCTGAGTAAAAAGCTCCGCCTTGTTTGCATCAAAGAGACGCTGCGCCTTGGTCTGGGTAGTGGATTCCAGCTCTTCCCACATTTGATGGAGACCTGTCAGCTTTTCTTTCACTACAGCTTCAGTCTCTGGTTTCTCTGCAATGAGCTGCATTCCCTCCTGCAAAGCAAAGAGCAACAAAATGGTACCTCCTCAGGAGCACTCACAGATCGTTAGTTAAATTATTCTGATTAATAAGCACTCAGGATTCCTCATCTGCTGGCAGCATCAACCACTCATTTTCTATCTCATTATCCAGTGACTCCTTCCAGAACATCAGCTCCCAGGTCCATCTGTTGCCAGGCAGAGGGTTTCTTGGCAATGAGAAGGTCAAGCAACGCCTCCTTTCTCTTCCCCGCTACTCATGTTCCGTTGTGGGAGCTCCTGGGGACACTGCTCAGACGGGAGTGGAGCCGGCTGCCCCATGCTGCCTGTGTGACAGCAGAGGACGGAGTGGCAGCTGAACAAGTCCAGATTCTGTGGGCCATTTCACCGGGAGAGCGATGAAGACCCAGCGTAATGCTGGGAGAGGGAGCTTAGGGCACCAAACGCGAGCTCTGCAGCTGAAGAGGGTTATGTTGATGGATTAGGGCAATTACCATGGGTCTAAGCTAATACCACAGAGGAATAATCTTCCTTGGGAAGAAGGAACCCTGTACCTAGCACGAACAGAGCACGTGGACTTGAGATATCTTTTTGCCTTTACAAAGATTGTATTAGTTTTGGAAATATTTTCTTTACTTCTAATGACACATCTACCTCTGCACCTGGGTGGTGCTGGCAAGGGTCAAAACCTTTTCAGATGTGAACACCACTCACAACCCAGCACATTTAATAGCTGTGACCACTGGTAACATTAAATACAGAGATCATCAGCTGTGACTCGATTGCAGCTTTGGTACTTTGCTGCAATCTGATTTTTCAGAGGCAAAGGGTGAGGATGTATTAGCATCACTAAAAAAGTACTTCCAGTACTAAGAGCAGCCTTCTAATTACACCATTAAAGGGTATTGCTATTTGCAGATCACAGAAAAGCCTCTAATGGGATACAGAGTGCCAAAGTGGGAGAGGAAATGAGCAATTAAGCTAACTTACACTGGACAGAAACCCACTGTCAGCGCTAAAGACGAGACCTCCTTAGTGTTCCAGAGCTGCACATGAGAACTGAGGGGGAAAAAAAGTACAGCTCATCACAGCATATTAAAGCCTTCAAAGTAACTCGATACCGAGCTGTGAATCTTAATTAATCACAAAACTGGCTGTACTTTACTTCATGCACTAATTCTGCATGGGGAAAGGCAGCCTGATTATAGTCCTGAATGAATGAAAACCAGCATGGCAGCAAGGGAGGCTCAGTTATTCGCACCACATTCAGTTATTTCCCAGGAAGTACTTCTACTTTATTAACTCAAATCACAACATTTGCCCCTCTTACCCTTTGGGTACGAAAACTAGGTTATGGGATAAGAAAGACTAGGCAAAATTAATCTGGCAACATAGCCAATGAGTATTCTGTCAGAGAACATCTTGGATAAAAACCATTCAATGTGAATGAGGAATAAAATGGGTTAGATGGAGACACATGCGATAGATACTTATTCCATTGTAATCTCCTTTTGCCTGAGCTGGAGAGATGACTCCAGAACCAATTCTGCAGAGGAACAGATCCCGTCTCGGTGCATAACCATCTTTGACAAAGATGAGGGCATTTTTGGGACTTTAGTTACCTTTTCAATCTTCTCCAGCCACTCTTTGTTGGATGCAAGTTCTGCCATAAATGCCTGATGCTTCAGCCATTTGCTATGCAGGTTCCTTGCCTCGTCATAGGACATATCCTGAGCTGTAAGCATCTTTTCATTGATCCAGAGCGAGAGCTGAAAAGGAAAATACATAGGTGTGTGTGAAAACATTTGTAGTGTGAAATAATGCAAAATATCAAAATGCCTCCAGATCAAGGATAAAGAGATGCCTCTACAGAAGAGTTGCATGAGATTGAGAGACTGCTTTTACTCAGGGTTCAGTCAAGGATCTACCTCTTTAACAGTTAAAACTTAAATATCCTTCTCTGATATATAAATACCCTATGACTCAAGCAGCAAGGAATCAACTCCATGATGAGCAAAATGAAACACACAGGTCTCACCCAGTTCAACAGCAAGAGTAACAGGGACATGTGTCCTACTTATTGGTCACAGTGTATCTTCGTACTGCTTTTCCCTTGCAATATTACTCAACGTGCTACTCGGGACCAGGACTTGGATGTCATCACCACACCCCTGTGGAGCCTCACTGACTTCCTGAGGACACTGCAGAAGCACATGCTAATGAAGTGGCATGCAAAAGGCAGTCTCCAGAATTAAACAGAGCCCCAAGGTAAATTTTTCAGGGAACCACTGAATGACAAATTCTGCATTTCTACTTGTATCAAAAGTCTTAAGAATAAAGACAGTTTTGTACCATTAATTCACATGACATTTGTACCTCTTCCCCATAGTCTTTTCTCTAAGTAGGTTTACACACATAAATTTATTTGTCCAATCTCCAGTAATGTTTTGGTGCTGAAGACTTTCCTTTTCCCGTTATATAAAATCCAAGAATGATTTCATTCTGATTTTCTGCAACTACAAAGGCATTGAAAACAATTTCCAGATCAACACTGGAGAAAATCAATACTTTAAAAAATAGCTTATTTGCCAAGGGCAAATGGAATGTGAAAATCATAGCAGCCAACATCAAATTTCCTCCTAGGGTGAGTCTGACTGTTTTATTTATCCCTTATCCCTTATGTGTGGATAAAAAAAACATGCTCACGAGATTGTTTATAGATTTTGAAAAAGATTCATTTTCTGCCTATTTAGAGTCGCCTACCCAAGCAGAAAACGTCAAAACAAATCTAAGCTTTGTTTCTAGAACAAAAAGCCACTTCAGCAACGCACGCTGCCCTGCCGAGGAAGCACCCTGACAAGAAGAGTAACAGAGCACAGGTGAGACTCGCCAATTCTCCACTACGTACTCAGGATACAGGACACCAAATTCACTCAGCGTTCATATGCCTTTTTTAAATTGTCCCTTAAAGGCACTGTTAAGCTCCACAAAAAGGGAAAACTTATCAGAGCAACCAAAGAAACTCCTCATCTGATCTTGCTGTCAAGTCTAAAGAGAAAAACGCTCATGTTAATGAAGACTTTCTGCAGGCAGCGGAAGTTTACAGCTAGAGCAGGCTACAGTGCTACTTAACAGAGCTACAAAGGCCACATTAAGGATTACTATATAACCTGAAATTAGTGGGTTTACTCCTGCCTTTCTGGGTAGGAGACGGCAGCTTTACTCTGCAAATTGCACTGCTTGTCTTTCATTGTTTGCTTTCACTTAGCCACAGCATTAAGTCTTCCGAGGATTTAAAAGTGCGTCCCAAGGACGGGTGGTATCATCCATAATAATAGATGGGGTGAACAGAGACACAGATGATACGTGGTACACAGTCAGCCATGTCAGGATGAAACCCTCATTTCTGACTCTCACAATGTTATTATGTTCCTTCTGGTAACACGGAAGTGCAAATAAAGCATTTAAGGGGTGACTATTAAAATCTGAGTTTTGCAACCACAATAGTCACTGGAAGTGCGTATCTTCAGTGCAAAGGTAGATTTTTAAAAATAAGACAATAATTCCCTAAAACAGCACCTCAAATCGATGCTTGGAGTATTTATTTCTCCAGGAAACCATCAGTCAGCTGTTAATGCCAGCAGTTAGCTACTAGGCTACCTCCTATCCTTTGCATCTATACTACAAAATTTTGTTTCTGCTAACAGCTCCCAGAAGACTGTAACGCTCTGCAACGAAAACCGGGCATGAACTAAGGGAAATACAGAGACAAACCCCTTGTAAATCTGGCAGAGCAACAAGGGAAGGTGAAAGAGCACCGACTGGTGCTGCACTTCCCAGACACTGCAAATACTCAAGTTGACACAGCCTGTCTTGCGGCGTAAGGTTCACAGACGTCTGTGCTGCATGACAAAACCTGCCGGCACGCTCCATGAACAGGCAGAAAACTTCTGACGTGCAGAGTCTCGCCAAATGCTTTCACTCTGGGATCCCTAGAGAAATTAGCCCAGACAGTGCTGGGACTTCTAAGCGCTTACAGGGAAGATCAGCTTTAATCTCTTCTAAGGTGAGCTGTGGAAGAACAGGACGTCATAGAAAACTAAGTGGCAAAATTTATCACATCTCCTCAGGATTTTCTGCTGCCACTCTTTATTTCATTCACTCAGCAAATTTATTTAATAAATGCATATGTATGAATGTGAGAAACAGACAAAGCAACACCCCAGCATCAACCTGCGACAGTGTATCTGACTACTAACAAGACAATCTGCTGCGGTTTCCCTCGCCTGTGACCAGGAGGAAAGATACACCAGTGCTGAGCTGTTGCCATGAGCATCACCCTGCCACCTCCCCGAGCCCCGCTGACCCTGCTCACTGCCTCGCCGGGGAGTCAGAGGCAGGAAGGAGCGAGGGGCAGGAGGCCACATTTACAATAATGCTTCAGCACGGAGTGACCGCTGAGGGAAGTGGCTGCCCTGGGGAAGGAGCACACTGCAGAAAACACTCTTCCTTTCCTCGGTTTACAGACGGATGGGAAACCGACCCTAAGGCAGCGGGCAGGAAGGCCGAAGGATCATTGCCAGGTGAAACGGAGACTGGTTCAAATCAGTTTTTTAACATTTCTCAGCTTCGTGGTCAGCGCTAACAAAAAAGCGAGGGGTGAGGTATTCCCTTGGCTCCCTTCTACCCCCCGGGACAGTGGTGCTCCATCACACAACCCCTCCAGCCCAACGCAGGTATCAGTAGGCACTTTGTAATCACTCTCATGCAAATTCCAAGTTTCATCGTTCAACTATCGTCAAGGCTAACGTCCTCTCAAAACAATTTGGAGAAATTGGTAACATTCAGGTATTGTAAGTTCTGTCTTTGAACTGTACAGTCAAGACATCCATGCTTTAGGGGCCGGAGAGAAACAACCGAGAGGAAAGGCATTCAGGCGGCCAGACACTAGAGCTTTTATGTTTTCCTTTTTCTTTCAATGATACAGGGGAAAAAACAGATCCTAGGGAACACAACCACACTGACACAGAGGCTAGAAGAGCTCCAAGAGCCAGGGGGATTTTTGTACTAGAGATGTTACAGAGGAAGGAAGAAGTTGCTGCTAATAACAGCAGAATTTTTGCTACTCTGTCATGTTTTTACTACTGAGGAAGGAACAATTTAAGCCAAGTTCGTCATGGTTAGCTTACGCAACACAGGAAAATAGACCGCATCTAAGCAACCAAGCAGTAAACATAATTTGCCCAGTTTACGATCGTCATTTTGTTTCTTTCTTGTATGAAATCTCAGCTGCGGGGCAATTCTATTCAGACACACTGCAGTGACTTCCAGTCTCCTGCAGCTGGCTAAGATGTGCAGCTGAGGTACTGACCCTTGAATGTAAGAGTTGCTTCTCTTCGCAGGCTTCGGATAAGGATAGCTAGTTTTTAATGCATGTCACAGGTAAGGCTCTTTATTATCTGTCAGTACTGCATGAAATAACCTGAAAATTACTTGATTAATTCCTCAAGCTAGGAACAAGATTATTCCTAACTTTAAAACGTTGCCTTCAGTATAAACAGTCCATGTAAGTCACTAGAAAATCTGGAAAGGATTTTTTTTTTACATGTTATAGTACTTAACAATTTTAAATACATGCAAACTATCGGATAAATAACACATTAAAATGATCCAGTTTAATCCCGTTCCCCTCTTATTTCTAACCTCCTATTCTTCTGACTAATGTTTTGTAGAAATCACTTGAAATCTCCTGCACCAGGCCACATAGATATATACAGCTGTAGACAAAATTCCTAAGGAATTCAGCGCTAATCCCACCAGATTCCACATGACTAATTTATACCATAGCAGAAAATCTTCACTGCTTTCAGCAATTTTCCCTGTCTTTAGCTTAGATGATAAAAGGAAATTCAGTTCATGAGAAAAAAAACAAACGGATTAACTTTTGCAGGGTTTTGGGTAGGGGTTTTTTTTCATTGTTTACTCCACACTAAATACTACTGGATGACTTGACTGCAAAATGCTGAGTAAAATGCTGAGTATTTCAGTCCTCATAAAATACGGGGTAAAAATGCTCTTCTGCAGGATGCAGCGTTTAGTGGTAAAAGTGAAAGGACATCATTTACCTCTTGACAATCCTGAAGAAACTTTTGAAGATCCCTGTTATCTTTCAGTCTCATCAGAAGTTCACTGGCTGCTTCACGGTTCTTTCTATGTCTAGTAAAAAAAAAAACACCAGAAAAAAAATCACCTTGAAATAGGCATTTCATGCAAAACTGTCATTTGTTCATTTCTGTAGCCTCTTTGGGATGCACATATTGAGTAAGTATGTGGTGTGTGTCTTTGCCTTTCAAATGAAGGACATTTCTGAAACTCAGATATGCATGTGTTATTTAATGTGCTTACTTAAGTTCCACATCTGCTTGTTTTTCTGACCCGTTAAATACACAGGGAAAATTTTGAAGTCAGCAGGGTTTCACAAGTGTTATGTCCAGAATCTGGCCTGCTAATTTCAAGAGAACAGGCAAGTTCTGTTTGCCAAAAAAACATATGAAAACTATCTGCAAAATTGCAACAATAAGATTGCACGTTATGTGGCTCTTGCGAAGTGTGTACTTGCCGCAATGCACTTTCTAATATACCTTTGCTATAGCTCAGCACCGCCTTCTGCTGAACAAAGCTGGAGAGGTTTACATACCTTCCAAACGCTGTATTTAACGAACAATACGTGGGACACACCCGTGCGTTTCTGCAAATGGAAGCTTTATGCACATTGGAACATCTTTTTCAGAGTGCTGAAGAGTAGACAGAAGAAAAAGCTAGTCTAGAAGCCCTATTTTTAAGTTGTAACTGTTTGCCCCTTGAAGGATGGATGAGTCACGCTGGCAGTCCCTAAGGACTTGGTGGGTTCTTCAAATGGACACGGCGCCTGAAGAGCTTGAGTCCCAAGATCTCTCTGAACATGTTTTTAACTAATGCTTAATTTGGAGTAGTTATCCCTGTCCTTCAGTACTTTCATTATTTATGAGGCGATTTAGATGGTGGAGGCAGAGTAAAGAAGACAATTTTTATTTACTGCTCATTGTGTTAGATTTGCTCATATTTCACTGTACAGCATCTTAAAATGAAATATTGCTGCCCTTTGTAATAACCTAAGCTAAATAGGGATAGCGAGTTGGAAATTATTTTAAAGGGTGGCAATTAATAAGATGATATCAGCACATACTGGCAAGAGCTAAATAAATCCATGTTAGTGGAAATCTCCAGAGACTCATGATATTCTAGAAGACTATAAATTACATGTTGATGACAACAACTGGATTAAGATACCACTTCTCCTGATCTGCAAAAAGATACCAAAGCAAGCTCTCTGGTATGAATTTAGTGACTTCAGAAACACAAGAAATACTTAGGGACACGTTTTACACAAAAGCAAAAGGTCTGTAGGCAGAGGAATAGGAGAAAACTACAAATTGCTTCTCTTTTGTCTCAACAGCTTCCTTTGAATAACCAGGCAAGCAGCATCTACATAGCTGTAGGTGACGAAAATTTATTTACGGATCAGATGGCAAGGAAGACATATGTAACCATTAAAGCAAGAGGCTGGAGTCCAAGCCCAGGTAATCCTGAAGTTTTGACAGGGGTTATCTGAGAGAGCACAAAGGAAAGGACATGTAAATTGTGCCTTAGGAAAAATCTCTGTAACACAGCTAACATTATTGGGTTTGATTCCACTCTTTCTTGGCTTGTTTTTATATGCCTGGGCAAACACAGTGCATTAGTCAGGTTGCTAAAATGAAGCAAGGAATTGCTTGGGTGATTTTATCATGATGATTTAATAGATTGAAGGCTAGATTACATACTAGACTCATGTATTCTGGAGAGGACACAAGTTGTGAAATTAAAAGGAGAAATTCCATGACATTTATTTGAATAGAGTTAAGAGTAAGTAGAGAAGTTCTTATATTGAGAAAACCTGAGTTTAAAAAAACTAATAAAAATATCTCCCAGACAGTGCTGGAAATACTAACTTCAAGAACTTTGAAGGGAAACCATGCAGGGATATCAAAACCAGATGATGACATAAGCTGCCTTTTTCTTTTTTTTTTGTGTCCTAGGCATAACAAATATGATCTTTGGTGCTTAACTGTAAAAGGTTGTTTGGTTGTCCAAGATGACCTGGAGTGTGACTGAAAGATGAGTATTCTCTGAAGATGAACAGGGCTGAACTGTAACAAGGTTTAAACAGGATACTTGAAGATGCGGTAGCAGGATTTTGAGGACGGACACTGCTGGAACAGGCAGGAATTCCTGTATTTTCATCATAGAATTTACGTTATATTTTATGGGAATAAAGGGCCTTAAGAATTCATTTAGTCTGTTCTCCTGCCCCAGACTGCCTATATCTAAACATTATTAATACCTTGTTCATGTTTCCCTGAATTCTTTGAAATCTCCAGTGACAGAGGTTTTAGAATTTTCTGTGCATAACCACCCCTACCACTAGAAAGCTTCTCCCACCCTCTGCTACCAGTATGTCAGAAGGGCTTTAGGTGGAATGAACAGGCAAACAGACTAGAGAGCAGAACGCTTCGTGATACAAATTTTTATCCAGATACTAGGTGAGTGTGGTGTTAAGGAGGCTGCCTGGTCACCCGGCTTCCCTGGCTGCATGTGCAGAGGCCCCAGCCGAGCCAGCCGGGCAAGTCGGGGCGGTGGACAGGCTGGACTGCAGCTCTGCTGAAGGCTATAAGCGCTTGGCCATCACCGGAGGGTGGAGAAAAGCACAAAGCTTCCTGTTCAACTGCTGACTGCAGTCATAACTATTAAAAACCTGCTCCTCTGAGATGCACACGGCAGAGAAGGGCCAGAAACTCAGACCCTGTCACCCTCAAGGCTGTCAATGACTGCTTCTTACTAACTTGCTAAAATAGTTTGTGGAAGAAGATCCCACGCTTGCACAATAGAATTTGCTCTGCAGACTAATTATTTAGAATGACTCTGAATTCATCTGCCTGCTCACATAAGTAACACATATATGACTTGCCCCATCGCAGTGTCTAGGGCTGCATTAAAAGCGGGCTCCCCTATACATATACTGAAGAGGCAACCTCAGATCCAAATGTCCAAGCTAAGCCAAACCTACATAGTAAAAAGAGGGGATAGAGAACATATCGTTGGCAATTAAAACATGGGGGCATCTCCCTTTTATGGCATCATTATAAAGCATCTAAAATGGGAAAATGAGATCTGTTCAGCACAAGGAGGTGTCTGACTCAAATTAATCCAAGAGCAGAGCACCAAAATTTGCCACAACGTTCCCATGCTGTCCTCCCTGAGGCCCCCGAGAACGCTAACAATGCTGAAAACTGACAAAAGCACTTGTGGTTTAACTGCAAGCCTGTGGGTTTCAAAGCCTGTGCAGGAAAACTTACACGTAGCGTGAATGCAACTGCCTACCAAGGATACTGAGATATATGCAAGGCAGCTTTAGCTTCTTTAGTCGTTCCAGCAAACAAGAGGCACTCTCCTTTCTGAATGGACAAGAACAAAAATGACTTCTGTTCTCCGTTGAGCAGAAAGTTGCACAAATACAAAAGTTGATGAAAAGCAGACCCAGAGCACAATCTGAGTCAGATCTGCCACTGCCTTTAAACTAAATCTCATTTGCAGAATCAGAGCGGCCATGTGTAGGCACACAGACTAGGGCAGTACCCTTACACTCTTCCAAGAGAAAATGGAGAGGAAAATGCTTCCCCTCTGGCTGGTAGACACAGCAGCTAAAGTCACCAAAGCAGGGACAGCTGCACTGGGGAGACCAGCTTCTTTACCAGCTGCAAAAGCTGGCTAGCGATAGCTTTATCCAAATCCGTCTTCTCCTTCCCTCACCCCTTCTCCAGGTCCTTATTCCCATTTATTCTCCCCGGTGAACTGCGCTAAAGGAGTCTGCTGAAGTGTGAATCTCCTGTGGCACAGCTCCACTCTGCTTCTGCACTCTCCTTCCTTGGCCTGATGCCTACCGTGTCTATTTAGATGGTAACCATTTTAGGGCAAGGTCTGTCTGCTGTCCCAGCGGACAGTGGGGTCTCCTCTGGAATAGCTTGAAAGCATGACTTTAAAAAATACTAGTAACAATACTAAAAACTACAAAGAGCTCCATATGGGAAGTATGGAGCCACTGCACATACTTGTACTTGTTTGTTTTGGTCCTTTGTTATACATCCAGGTGGAGCTTGGTTGGGAGAGCAATTTTTTGTAAAACCAAAGAGGCTTCCTTTGCTACCACTCCCACTACACCCTGCCCTAAGGCTTTGTTCTTGAGGCTTATCAGCCTTACAGACTCAGAGAGCAATCACACGGATTTCCTGAATAGCAGTGCACCGGATGGTTTTTGCAGTGCTCTGCATAAATAGCTTTGGAATTGAGGAAACACGTTGGAAAGAAAGCAGCCTTAAAAAAATAGTCTCTAGGACCTGCCTGCCATTCAGAGTAGGAACTCCAGCACCCGTCCCACAGCCAGGACGGCGCAGGTGGCCAGCTGGGATGCCACAGGACAGCAGGGACACAGAGGAGTAGCTGCGCTGGGGGGAAACAGTCACCAGAGCACCACAGCCAGGGCAGCAGGAACCTCTCTGCAGAGCACACAGGACAGAGGCTTAAGCTGTCTCCCACTCCAGTCATCTCAGAAAGGTCTGGAAGAACCATCTGACCATTTGCCACTCTATCCTTGGATGCTACCTTTTAATATTCCAAAAGTTGTGGAAAGAAGACACCTGACCAGAAGGCCAGGATCAAGTCCTCCTGCTTTCATAAGTGTATGGCAAAACTTATAGCAGAGGACGTTGAAAATCAGAGAGGGTAAATAAGGAATATTAATTTCCTAGCTTTCACCTTGATTGCCTTCATATAATCTCCTCTTCCTGGCCTTTGCAGTTTCTCTCTGGGATCTGAAGAGAGTCAAGCTGGTTAGAAAGAGAATGAAAATGTGAGATATCCTTGGGGTTAGGTTGTCAGAGCGCTCAGAGGCCCTCAGCAAGCTCTGGGAACAGGAATATCCGCTGTTCTTGAAGCCATGAGCCACAGCTAAAATGGGTGCATACACAGTGGGACACATTTGCCAGAACAGGAAAGGCATGGCATTTTCCGAACTACTTCAGTTCAGTTTCTCCTCAGAGATAAAGGCATAGGCATTTGGATAACTCTGAACTTATCGGCTGTGGGAGGATGCAAGTCTGATAGAAGGGTTGTCAGTAACAACATAAAAGTTCTGTATGAGCTTACTGCTGTGTTCTGATACTCATGATTGAAAAGCGCCTTGAAAGGCTCCATTATTATTCAAACCAAAAGCCAACCATGAATCTTAGCCATCAAAACTGAACATTTGGTTTTCAAAGAAAAATAAACTCTTAACGCTCCATAACATCCGTGCCACAGGTAAAGAGACAAAGCAAAAGACTTGTTCTAGGATGAAAGACCCATTTGTATCAATGCTTCGTAATCTGATTTCAGAAGGGCCAGACAAGTTGGGAAAGGTGATCAAAGCCAAGCGGGTGGGGTAGATACAATGCCAATTATACTCTTGAAGAGCCACATTCCTTCCTCTGAGGAATGACAGGAATACATTATTATAATTAAATCAGCTAGGAGGTAGCAGGGGAAACTAAGACTTGTGGAACCAGGTATAGCTAACTGCTACAGCTCCCACCATAAAACAAAGTGTTAATACTCCAAGAATTATATAGCAACACTCATATAGCCAAATTCCAGGTAGTGAGCTCATTACCTAGTAAGTCTCTAGAAAAGGGAGAGGTAATATTTAATTATGATTAGCCCGGCACATTTTTGAAACATTACAGTTCTTATTTTTCCACAGGACAAAGAAAACAGTCTGCAACAGACATTTTCCAACATGTTACTTTGCCTTTGGATTCTGGTAAAAAGTCAACTCTCAGAGAACAGAATTATAAGTATGAACAGCTACATTCCGCCATCATTCTGATCTTACCTGTCATCAATGGAGTCCACTTTCTCCTGGATTTTATCAGAGTTAATGTTCCCATCGCTAACTAGCCTCCTGCCAGTCTCTACAACTGCATTAATCTTTTCTTCATTGGCATCCATCGTGGTCATGAAATCCTCCTGTTTTTTAATAGCAGCTTCTGCTCCTTCCAAGGTAGTGGGCATTTCTGTGTGCGCCAAAACATACTCCTATGATCAAAGCATAAACCAAGAGAGATAAAAGTATTACACTCAGGCTATGCTGTCTGGTCCAACAACAGATTCACCACATATGAAAAGAAATGTCTCCCAAGAACGGTTAGAACTAAAACACCAAAAGCAAATTATAGTTTAAAAAGAGCAATTTATCTGTTTGTAGCTCTCCTGCCAAATGATCTTGCTTGTTAATTGCTTGCAGCATGTGGTGCCAACCTACAGAAACAAACTAAGGTATATCTTGACCACTTGCCTGGTTATTAAGAAATGCTTCTGCTTGCTTGGTATCTCTGAGAAAGAGCTGGTAGGCATGAGACTGGGAAAGGAGATTTTGCCTGTTCTCCCACATTTTGTGAAGCTCATTCCATCCAGTGTCCAAAGCTTGTAGGCGCTGGCGTAAGAACATGTACTGAGCGTCAGTTTGCCCTTGTGTCACCATCTCACCCATGTCCCTCATTTTCTGATAATCTTCCTCATAATTATTGATTTCATTCTTAATATTCTCGTGTTGAGTAAGCAGCTTCTCGGCCTCTGTCAGTGTGTTTGGCATATCTTCGGACGCAATTGCAGTCTGCGTTCTGGATAGCCAAGACTGGAAGTCATCCAGGTCTCTCAGGAACTGCTGCAGTTTGCTTGCCTCTCCAAGGGACTCTTCCCGGTTCTTGAGGGTGGTCTTCATTTCTTCCCACACATCGTTGATTTCTGCAAGCCGTGAAAGGATAGCCTGTGCCTGGTCAGGATGCTCTGACTCCAACTTTTCGGCCTCTTTTTGCAGGTCGCTTAGCTTGGCTTCAATGGCTACCAAGTCACGTTCCATGCCCGTCAGCTTCCTCTGCAGGGCCATCACTCCAGCTAGATCATTACCCAGATCTTGGGTGGATTCGATCACTTTGGTCTTTTCCCTGATCCAGGATTTGGTTTCATTACATTCAAGATGGTAGTTCTGGATACTCAGAGCAGAGAGTAGAGCATCCTTCTTCCTATCTACCAGTTCTCTGAACTGGCTCCATCTGAAATTTGTGAGGAGAGAAAAGCAGAGAAATTGAGATTTCTGTATAATAAGGGAAAAGGAAATGGCAACATTGCTGAGTGAGCAGTTGCTCACATTAGCTTGCTAAGCCATGAAATAACCTAACTATTCATGGCTTTTCAGTCCTTCTCCTATCATCAGTAGGTTTAGCAAAACAACCATTAACCCACTACGGCGTATATTAGAATATGACAAGTACCAGCAACACTGAGTCTTTAAAAGTGTAATTTTTCCTCAAGTGAAAAATTGCTAGTTACATCTACTCTCTCTATTTTTAGCCAAAAAAGGAGTGCGTTTACGTGAAATTATATTGGTTTCTTTTTTATCGTAATAGTCATTAACAGTAAATTTCCAGCTCTCAAATCAAGGTACTGATACACTCAGAACCTTACTGAAGTCAACAGCTAAACTCCATCTATTAATCAAATGTCTGAAAGACACAGTTCTTTTTCCTTCTGAATTTTTAAAGGCCCACCTTGAAAATACTTCAGATAACTATCAGAGTATCTTAAAAAACACATATAAGAAACACAAATGACCCCAGCGTACTTCTTTCAGCCAGCGTCATCTTCATGAGCACAAGGCCTTCACTTACCTTGTGTTGAGTTTATCTTGCTGTGCTTTGATCTCCTTCTCACTTGGATGGCCGCTGTGCATTAGCTGTCTAGCAATCTGGTTCACTACTGCAACACGGGATGCCTGATTGTTCATTTCTGGTTCTAAGCTTTCAAATCTGGAGGGGGTGGAGGAAACAAACAAAAAAAGATCACACAGGCATTAGAGAATCCGAGCCACAGGCAAGCTGAGAAAGGTAGCTGGTATAAAAAACTTCCACCCAATATTCCCCAAACTTCCTGGCAAAAGCATTCTCACCTGTGCTGGATCACTTCCAGGTCCTCCAGCTTCTCTGGAATCTGCATATTATTCAGCCACTTCTCCTTTTCGTCAATCCAAAGCTCACAAGCATCTGCCTCACTGAACATCTTATAAAGAGCAAGGGTATCCTGCAAGGCCTGTTTACGCAGCCGAGTCAGCTCAGCAACCTCTTTGTATCTCTCCTCTATTCCGGACAATCTGCCTTGCACATCTGGAGATCCAGCGTGCTCCTGCGGTAGAGCCTTCGCTTGTTCGTGAAGCGAGTCAATGGTTGGCCGGTAGCTTGCAATCTCTTCAGCCACATCTTTGTGTTTCTTGACCAAGGACTGAGTGGAATATTCATCATGGCCAACATCATTGCTGGAGACGATTTTGAGGATGTCCAACATCCACGCATCAATGTCATCAGCGTCAGCCTGGAACTGGTGAAGGAGAGAGGCTTCCTCCAGACGCTTCTTCCTAATGGCAGATAACTGTTCCAAGTTAGCCCACTGCTCCCGGATATCCTTAATTCTTTCTCTGATTTTCTCAGACCCAAAATGCTCCTCCGCAATCATGTCTTCACCTTCTTTTATCGCCTGCTGAAAGTGGCCACTACGACCACTCATTTCGTCTTCGAACGCCTTATGTTTACTCAAGAGACGGACAACACTGGTTAGGTCCTTCCCATAGTCATCAGATGACAGGATCTGTTCCTTCTCTCTGATCCAACCCTCTTCTTCAGCCATTTCCCAGAAGAATTTCCAGAGGCGCCGGGACTCCTCCAAGCGGGCCCGGCGCTCGGCTGCGAGCTGGCACAGCTCTTGGTAACAGAAGTCCATGTGAGCGACGCGGTCCCTGATAACTTGCGGGTCACACGGTTTGTAACCTGTTCAGATAGAGAATGTACGTTACAAATTGGATTGATTCATTTTCATCTCTTCAGCTGGGGCATACACAGAGTTCCCAAAACCTGTTTGTTCCATCTATGAAGTTTATGTAAAAGAATTCATAGTTAGCCTCCTGAGAGTGAGTGTGAATTATTCAAACTCCACCATACAGTAACACAGATCAGAAAATACAGTTCTTTGCATAAAAAAACTCTGAAAGATATTAATTCCTGTTTTCAGTGAAACAAAATTCACTACTCCACATTTATACCAGCTTCATACACACAACTGCACAAAATGAACATCATTTACTCTAGTTAATGACACTGGTTTAGTGGAATTGCTTTTATTTAGCATAAATGGGGACAGTATCAGACTGGGTGCAATAATTTGTATTTTTTGCTATAAACACAGAACGGGGAATTAATGGTGACTACTGCAACGTTACAGCAGTTGCTGGTGAGGAGTGTGACACCCCGTGCAAAACACAATGCCACAATGAACTCTTGCGCAGGTACCTGGACAAATTAATCATTGACACAGTGAGTAAAGAAGGAACAAATGAAGCTGGATTCTCTCATTCTGGTGCTGAATTTAACCTAACGTGCCTTGCAGAACTAATGAGGCTTATAGATAACCTCATATGTAATTAAGACAAAGAAGGACCTGTTGGCTGCTAGTTACCTTCTCCATCGGTGGCAAACTTCTGAGCAGATGCATTGACCCCTCTCACTCTCTCAGCCTGAATGGCAATGTCAGCTTCCACAAGAGCATGTTTCTGCAACAGGTCTTCAACTCCTAATAAATGTTTGCCATAGTCTTGAGACAGCAGAAGCACCTGATCAAAATGTAAAAGACAAGTAAAATGGGCGAAGGCCATAAACTGTTGGTTTCTCCATGTCACCAGGCATTACACTGTTCTCTGTTGTTACTTTAAGTCCAGAGAAACACCAGGCCCATGAGGAGAGCTATTTCAAACGTATAGAGGCATGCCTGATACGAATTTGAGGCAGTATTTTAAAAACCACTGGCAACTATGAAGAACTTGACTGCTCCTTAATGCAGTTTTAAGTCTAGGATGATGAGAAGCTAAGTTAGCTCAGCAGGACCAACGAAAAGCACTCAGCCCAGGTACTGTCAGCTGCCACTGACAACACACATCTTTCTTTCCTCCAACAGCTTTCAAGTTCTGTTGGCTGATGGACAAGAACAAAGTCATGGTCCTTTCCCTTCCCAGATCCCAGGAGAACAGACAGGAAGAAATTCATGCTTTTTAAAACACAGAGGTGAAGAGGTGACTTGTTCCCCATGTAAATTGTGATGAAAAGAGATTATTTAATTCCCTTTCACAAAAATCATAATCCTTACCCAAGCACAGTGACCAAAGCCTCTGGCCCTTATGAGACAGGCATGAAGCTGAAAAGGAGCTTTTTATAGGAATGTACTTGTTCCTTTTCCTTACTTGTTTTTAATCTCTATTTTTCAAAAATTGTCATAAGCTACAAGGAATTTGTTCACTGCTCTTGAATGCGGATCTTCTGCATCTATTAAACCAGAGGGGCAAAATGAGTCTTAAAAATTTACCAAAAAGGACATCTACGCCTCTCCAGAATATTTGGTCTACGTTCTCAAATGGCTAACACCTACCTTCATCTCATCCATCCAGTCCATAATGTACAGCATTTCCTGGAAAATCTTTTGCAGACCAAGATTCATCTCCAGCCGCTGTCTCCGTGCCCTGAGCAGCTCCAGGAGATACTCCCATAGGCGTATAACGTTGTCCTTTCTCGCAGTAATGCGTTTGATATCATGGTAATTTTCAGTCTCAAGCTCTTTCGCAACCGCCACCACGGCCTGGACTCGCTCTTCATACGCTGCGATGTCTGTTTCAATGGCCTCATGCTTCTTTGTCGCGGCCTCTACCGCTGGAAGGTCAAAGCCAAAATTATCCTGTAAAGACAGAGACGCTTCTTCAGTAATGGCTGCTGAGGAGAAAAGCCCTACTGCTCAAACTCTAACATGATTTCTGATTGTGCAGAATTCACTTGTTAGCAAATTTGGGATCTCAAAATGCTTTGGAAAAAAGTCTTTAATAAAATAAGAGATACCTCTGATAACCAGAAAACCAGTGATAAAATCAGAGATACCATTTACTATCTTTGGGGGAACAATCATGGTGGCCATCAGGATTAGGCCAGGGCTTTGGATTTTTTTAAAGTCAGCTCTAATATTAAAAAATAAAATTAATTCCTGGGCTAATTCCACTGAATTGACCAAAATATTCCGATAAAGAAAATCTTGACTGTAGGTAGGTATTTCCACATCAGTATCTCCTCAGTACAGACTGATAGATTCAAGGAAGGGATATCCCAAATGCATTAAAGATAGGACATACAGTACGTACACATATACACTAAATACACATTTGTGCACACATAACATAAATATACATATACATAGACTCAGAAAAATATGAAGCACAGGGAAGAAAATGTTCTCTTTGCAAGAACTGTATCCTGTAATTACTCATGGGAATCATTTTAGTCACACAGACAATTTCTGAGAGCAGCACCTGAGAAACGAGACGTTGATTTTCACTCAGCCAAGTTTCTCTCATAGCTGCCTTGCGATCAAATCGGCGTGCAAGTTGTTCCAGTTTCTCTTGTCTGATGAGCTCATTTCGCAGTGCCAGTTCTCTTTCATGTTCAGCTTTTTCCAGTCTTTCCCAGGCCTGAAGACGTGGAGAAAACACATGCATCTTCTAAACACACATTCTTATAGGATTATGATAAATCACATCTTCTTTGCATGAAAACAGAACTGAAGTCACTACAGCCAAGTTTTACAAAACTAGCTTATTTATTTATATGCCAATAAATCTGGTTTGCATTGCCTGGCCTTACACCTCGTTTGCTAATGGAAGCGCATGACTTAAAATTTGTTCTCCATTCATTTTCTGAGCAAGGCGTATAAGACTTGTTTATCTCAGATGCATTTTCTCGAGCTTATTTGTTTTTTGCCTCCAACAAGGTCTAAGCAAACCACCTGGCTTGAACGTGTAAGAGAGTATTTGTTTAAAAAAAAAAAAAAAATCTTCTGAGCACTATTCCCAAATAAGCGAATTCTATCTTCATCCTTTCGGAAATGAGAATTAGAGATTCATGCCCTCTCACCTCTAAAATCAACATACAATTGTTGGTCTTCATTACATCCACTTTGGAAAAGCAAACAGCTACAGAATTCAGTTACTTTTGGTGCATACTAGTCCTTTTTTCCCTCAAAGCCAAAAGTTATTCATACGCATGTCATTAATATTACAAAACCAAGAAGTCTTAGGGGCATGTTGAAAGCCACCTAATCACCTTTCAGACCTTCCTCCAAACAACAAAAATACCCACGATTAAACACCAACTACCCTAGATTCTTCTAAATCCTAACAGATGTGAAGCTGCCCGAAACCCAAGTATTTTGGGCATTCACAGGCACAGGGGCTTAATGCAAACAGGAGAGCTGTGCAGTTTACTGCTCTCTAGGACGCAGACGGAGGCCACAGGCACCCACAACAGCTGCTCTGGGAATGCCAAGCATGGCAAACGCAAATGAGGAAAGCTCACAGTTTTAAGTTGTTTGTTATCCTTAGGAGAGCTTGTCAGCTCTGCTGCTGTTCTGCCAGCTGCACCAGCAGCAAAAATAGCTGCATAAACCCGGAGAGGGAACCTGCAAGATCAGTCATGGCACTTCCTTTGTTCTCCCACACTGCGGGCAGGGGGGGCTGAGAGGTAAATGGGGAGGGCTACAACATCTAGATATTGTTGCTACTTTCTGTCAATTAACAGCCAGGACCATGGAGGAGCAAGGCAGGGCTACTAGATCCATAACCAGAATGACTGAGCACTTTTTCCAGTGCAGAAGATCTTACAGATGCTGAGGATACCCAGGGACTCAGTTCAGATTAATGAGTCCGAGCCCTGAGAAAAGCTCGCCCCACCGCACCCATCCCTTACGGTCCTGCACATCAGGGCTGGAAGCAGCACATGTGTTTCTCCCCAGTACACCGAAGAGAGAGACTGAAAGAAAACAACCAAATCCTGAGTCGCACAGGAGGAGCCGGCTCAGTTTACCTTGTTAATGTCAGAGATGAGTTTGCCCTCCCTTGGCATGTATACTTTCTGATTGTTGGCCCTCATTTTGCTTTGGATGGTAAACAGCAGCACTTCTAGGTTTCCTTTTTCCGTAAATCTAAACAAAATTTCGCAAAAGGATTGAGTTACAATAAAGCTTTCATTGCTACTAAGGTATTATAAAACACTTCCTTAAAATATTGACATATGAATGGAGCATTCAGATAAACATCTTCATCTTGTCTGAAAGCTGGAAACAATTGAAATAGCTCACACATCCCCTGGAACCAGTTGGGTCAAACAGCAAATGGAACTTCACAGAAGTCAGCTGTCTGTGTGTTCAGATTTAAACCCCCTTGGGGGACAGAATACTGCATTTTTTTTATTCTATTACGTGTGTTGCCCTAGTTTACTCTATCAGCTCAAGAAATGGAAGTTTTATTTAAAGCCCACTGCAGTCAATAAACTCTTCCCACTCTCTTCCCTGAGTTGTACGCCTGGGAAATAAACAAACTCCACAGGCACTAGGGAACAGACTGCAATTTTAGAAGACGTCTGGATACTCTGTAATGTTTTGGCTTGTATTATTATCCATTAGAACTTATATTAGACAAAAATAATAAACCGATCTGATATCATAATGCTAAAAGAAACTTTCCAGAAGTAAGTTGCGCAGCTTTGGTTATACCAGTTTTAGTAAGCATAGCTGTTCTACAAAGCCAGACACACTTCCTCTTGATTTTGGATAGGCAGTAAGATTCTTTTAATAGCAGTTTATTGGTATTATATGTTATTTTAAGCATGACTGGCGATATAACTGTACTAGCATGGTATGCTATTACCACACATATTATAAGGCAGGCACCCCAGTGAAGCGACAGCTTCCAGACCTCCAAGATCCTGCAGGCAACACACTTTTTAATATTGCTGTTATTATCTGCACACTGAATAGCGTAAGGCAAACAGGCCTTATGAGTAATAATGACGAGTGCCAATTAGAAATATGATATCTGGGTTTGTTCAGAAAAATAAGTTCTTAAGTCAAGATTAAAATTACTTGGATGTGTTTGTTTTTTTAAAAAAAATCAACAATTGACTAAACAAAACAAGACCATTGTTGTTTTAAGCTAAGATTAAAATTACTTGGGTGGTTTCTCTACTGTGCGGTAAGTGTTGAATGCCTGTAGCTGCTGTTGCACACCAACTAGGGAGTTGGCAAATTTGCGATTGTTGAGGATAATAATGGTTTGCTCAATCCACTCAAGAAGGTCGGAAGCCAGCGATTCGTATTTTTCAATCATTTTCTCCGTTTCAATGGCATTGTCAAGCACCTGCAACAAGCAGCACAACGTCACATGAATAAGGAGGGGCAGTGCTATACAGTCATTTAAATCCAACAAGCTACATAAAAGAAACTGTTGAGAGACTTATGAATCAGACCACTCACTCCTGAGCGCCACAGGGGCTGGGCTCTCTGAGGAATGAGGGCTTTGCATTTTTCAGCAGTGAATTCCCATGATCCCACGGCAATAGAGGGGCAGAACTGAGTCTCACAAAAGGATCCATGTTCAGTCTGACAGATGTAAAGATGGGGGCAACTTCACCAAAGGGCAGAGAATGACTGTACATTTTTAAACGAGGGACTCTTCTGGGCTCCAGAAGAGACAGAGGACCCAGAGGGTGAGGAGCAGCTAATAAGAAAGGAAAAGCAGCAATAACACAAAATTAACAAGCAAAAATAAAACACCGGCCAAATGTTTTCTAATATGAGGCAGCTGGAAACTAACTACTCCTCACAGTCATATGGGAATATTTAACATTCAAAACACGTTCAAAAGCAGAACTAAAAACTACCATACAGTGGACTCTTGAAAAACTAACACCCAAGAGGGAGAAAAAAAAAGTGATAAAGATTTCAACTGCTTTGTAACAATTTATAATTTGAACTGGCAAACCTTTCCAATACGTTTTCCTTCAACAGCTAAAGCTTTCATCTTGGAGAAGTAGTGGTAATATGTCACCACATAGGTGATGATTGACTTTTCATCAGGATGATCAACACTGATATCTGCAAACCAAACAAGAGTTGTCTCAGCATACTGAGGGTGCATGGGTTAAAACAACAAAGCTAATAATGCCACAAGGATGTGTTTCAGAGCCAGAGGGATGGGTTCAGTGGCAGTTCAGTTCCTAAGATTTATGTCCTAATCAGAAATAAATTCTGCAGCTTTGGGCTGGTTCGGGATTACTTGCTGTTGTACAGTTTTGAATCCTGTCACTAAGTGCTCCTTTATCTCTTGTCTTTGCGCGGACTGTGGTTAAGACTGTGGTCTGTGGGCGAGAGGCCTTTGGGTTTTAGAGTCAGGCCTCAGACCTCGCCACAGCTTGTGCACGGCTGAGTAACTTCTCTGGTGTCTGTGCGAGTTGACAGAACTACTATTAATTGAGAACTTCAATGTTATACCAGTATTTGGAGAGAGGAACTCAAACCTAATTATATGTCTGTCCAGGCAAATCTTCTGAGAGATACAGATGGAAAACACATTATCTCCTTTCCTGCAGCAATTCTGAGGCACTGGCAAATCAGCAAGAAGAAACTCGCCCAAGCACATAGCCTTTATTTGCCCTGTGACAAGAAAGTTTCTTGTCCTAGCATTGTAAGCACGCCTTCCAATACGCATGAGCATTCACATTGTCATGGAAGCACAGGCTAAAATTCACTGTGAGTCTGCGAAAGAAGCTGCTAACTATTTGCTGAAATCCACATCATTCATCTTTAAGCTCACAGAAAGTGTTTCTCAGAGAAGATCAGAAGGATGCCTCTAACTGGAATGATTTTATGTATACGTGGCGAGTCCCATGATCTTGTCAGATGGGGGAAAATAAACACAGGACTAAGGGCTCTTGTGCTACCGCTGCTCAGTCCTCTGCAGGAGACATCTTGCACTCTCTCATTCCCTCTCCAGCTGTATCACCAGATGAGTCAGCAGCATCCAGCTTCTCCTTAACACAAAAAGCTATCACAAAGCTGGTCCCTGAAACGAGGGGTGGAAGAAAAGAGCCCACAAAACAGCGTGAAGCACTGAAACTGCAGGAATTCTTACCCTCGGGGTCCAGGAGCTTAGTAAGACCAAGGTGTTGCTCTGCAAGGTTAAAAGCATTCTGCAGATTGTAGTGTGCATTTGATTTCTTCAGCTTGTCAAAATCAATCAGATCAGGCCTAGACAGGATGGAAAATTCTTTAGATTTCCCAAAGCACAGTGCAGACACCCTCAAATGAACCACTAACTAAAATCTGCAATCTTCAGAAAACCTGCCCCCTCATGCTGCCAAGGTTTTGCCTGCCCAGCAGCCATGTGCCTTTCAACGGCAGTATTAAAGGCATGAGGCACACGCCATGGCAGAACCTAGCCCATGGCAAAAAACAGAGGATGATTTACTAGGGATAAAGGTGGCCTGGAAAAGGAAGGAACAAAGTTGTGGTCACCCAGGCTCTCCTAATGCCCATCTAAGTATGCAAGCAACAACTTCACCTGAGCACGCCAATGAACAGCATGCCCAGCCATGTCGAAGTCTAGCACCTGATTTTGCCGCCCCTACACAAGGATTTCTTTCCCCTCCAGGCTGCTGTTGTGTGTCGCGTCCCCCTCCCGCCCCCAAATTCCAGGCAACCAGACCTGATCGCAGGTTACTCAATAAGGTACAAAAGCTTTTCTTTCGACCCGGTCAGTCACAAACGAGAACAATCACATGTATAATTTATTCTCTTGAAACCAAACACAACCTGTTTTGATTTGTGACTTGAGAAGCTGTTGCCCAGATGAGCTCACAGTGACTGCAAGAGCTGTAAAGCTCTAAAGCAAGGCAAGTTGCTGTAAAACTCTCAGCAATTCGTCAACTTTCTCCTCTCCACAGATTTTAAAATCAAGCTGCAAGGCAACTGCAAAAGCCAGTAGACACTGCAATGGTCCAAGCTTTCAAAATCCATAAAGACATTTACCCACACATACCTGTGCTTATGGATCAGTGCATTGAAAGCCATCCCGTCCCTCCAGCTGGTTGTGAAGTTGTGAATGTTGACATTGGGGTAACTGGCAGAACAAAAACCAAAGAAAGCGCAATCAATGTAGCATCCCCGCTGCAGCTCTGCACACTCTGTCCCTAAAAGCTGGCTGCAGGAGTGACACATTTATTGCAAACCTAAGGGTGGGATATTACCATCCCACGATGGACAACCTATCATCACGACTGTTCTCTAATCAGAGGCTGACACTAGAGGTAAGTGCACCTCATTTACTCTTGTAAACCATGCAGAATTGATATGCATTCCAGAGAGAGGCACTAAATGAACTCTGAAGTAATCACTTGAAGCTACAATTTTGTAACTTGCTGCCCAACCTGCAGCCTGTGAGGTTTCAAATCCCTGCAAGACCAAGGGATGCTCCTGATTTAGCTGCTGGCAAAGAATTTTTTCAAGTACTCAAAACACCAAGTTCAAGAGAAGAGCAGGAACAGCTGGAGGAACAGAGAGGACTAAAACCTGATGGTGGCAGGTGCCACAACAGCAGTGGTACATTAAATTTTCCTGGAAATTGTCTGTTGTCCCAGGGCATCTTCAAGGACTGACCCTAGTCACTGTCTGACTTTTAAACAAAGCACATATGATAACTACCTTTGCGCCCCATGGGTACACAGATGCAAAATTAATTTGTTTGGTGATCTAGGTATTTCACAAGTCTCTAAAAATTTCAGGCTGCTTACAAACCACTTTCCTAAGAGTTCTTGGAAGGAGAAGATTAAGTACCACTAGATAATGCTGAAGTGCCCCAAGTCATCACAGGGACATCCAGGTTTCATGGGGGAAATATACTGAGTCTCTACAAATGGATATTTAATTATGCAAGAGGGTTACTGTCAGAGAAAGACATTTTGGAAATATTTCCATACACATGGAAAGAGGGGAAACTTGGTGGCAATCATATGAAGCACCATTACTTCTTCAGAGCAGGGTGAAAAAGAGTCAGCATATTACTATATATTCATGGATTATCAGATTGGTATGTTTAGCACACAGCATTAACATAATAAATTCAGAATGTTCTGACTTGTAAACATCAATTCACTTCTCTTGGTTGAATCCACTTAAGGAGAGATACGTGTTTGCCCATTTAAAATCATTTCAATGCAACTCAAAATGCTCTAAGGGCTTTAGAGATAATCACTTAATCCACACTCACCCAGCTGTCTTCATCTGGCACCACAAAAGCAAAGCATCTTTAGCAGATTTCTTCTCCTTGTTGTCCTCAGTTTCGACACTGATATCTTGGATCTAAAATTAACATAGAAGGTTTAAATATTTCTCTGAGAAAGCACATTGTTCACCTTTTTTGAAAAGATGAAAGGAATGATATCGGAATATAAGTAATAACAAAGGAAATCTATGACAGGCAGGGTGCAAGTAGGTGAATGCTTTTCCTCACATAAGAGCACTCATGTCAAAAGAAAGCTTCATCTGCCCTTATTTTACTGGAGGATTACTCTTTGATTAGTCCATTGACAAAACAGTTTAAGCCTCATGAGAAAATTTATTCCCAACTGTCAAGGCAAACCTTGCCCTATACAGCATTACGGTTTCATCCTGCGAGGTGTCTCCCGCAGGGAGCTGAGCACGTCCAGGAGCCGAGGGGGTGCGGCAGGTAGGGGTTCTCGTGAGGGGATCCACAGGCAAAAGCTAACCAGCAGTTTCACAGGAGCAAACAATTTTGAAACTTCGAGCTTGGAGGGAATAGTGTTTGCCCTTAGCAGCATCACAAATATGTATTCCAGATTCTAGGATGTTCTCCAGTTTTTAAGAAGAAAAAAAAGGGGGAGGGGACAACGACCACTTTTTACTTCATATGGACAAATATATCTCATTTTATGAATATAGTTTACTGCTTTTTAAGGAGAATATTGTAGTTTCAGTGAAGTCCCACTGGTGTCACTGAAAGTTAGGCAGATACTTTCATATTAGGAAAACACTGAGCAACACCAATATTAAGAGAATGTTAAATTTATTAAATATTTACTACTACATTACTTATTATAAATTATGTATTTAGCATATAAATTTATTATCCTTTCTGCAAAAGGACTTTCCAGCCTTTTTTAACTGAAGGCAAAGACCAATGTGCAACTTGCTGGAAAACATGAAATCTCAGCCTTTAGCTGGGACACTAAAACAGTTCCTGTGGGCACCCTCAATCCACTTCAGTGCAAAGTCAGCCAGGTTAATGACAATCACACCACAGAGGTGAAGAGCAGCCGCGGGTAGCATTTCTTCCGAAGTGTGCAAGAGTGGATAGGTCTGTGACTGGAGCTTCAGTCTTATTCAAGTACTTATTTATTAGTAATTTAAAAATACAACCACATGACTCTCCACACTGGCTGCCACCACAGATCAGCAGCGCCATGAAGACTAATTTATCCTCTCGCACTTTTCGCTCCCCTCATCTCGGAGGGCCTGGGAGCACTCCACTCTTAAAAAGCACAATGAAGTGTATTACAAACAAGCATGGAAAACCCAAACGTGTGTAGATCTGCATATGTATACATCTTTACCTGGAATCTCAGGATAATAGTCCAAATAAGGCCAAGTGTCAGCCTGTGATTCCCATCCACAATATCATGAGATCCCATGTTTTCTAGGTGCACTCTTTGCTCCTTCAGGAACTGGAGGGCTTTATCAACATTCTCCAGGCAATGGATGCGCATCCTTCCCTTAGTCGGTTTAGGCTAGAAGGTAAAAGGAAGAAGAAAAACAGGTATTACTGTAGATGGAAAGAGGAAAAAAAAGGTGCTTGTTAACTCTTCAGTCCAGGCAGATGAGTCACCACGCTGTCCTCTCCCAGCCAGCAATACTGTATGCATTTCTGCTTCAAATTCAATGGACAAAATCGCTCCTTGCATCTTACAGCGCATTCACACAGGGATAATGGTAGCACGTGTCAAACTCGTGGTGGAAATGCCAACATCCTAGACCTGAGCCGCACACACCGGGAGCCAATTTCATTTGCCTTTCAAAGTACTTTGCCCGTTTACTTCTTTCATTTTTTTCTAACATATTCATTCACTAACTGGAAGATAAATTATTTTGTTAAGTCCATGCCACGCCTGTTACATTTTCCCAAGATGGTTTTTATCTCCAGTACAAGTTCTTCCACACTTAAAAAGAAGATCCTGCAAAGATAAAGACAGGAAACAAACTGATAACTGGCGTACACACGCAACAGAGGGAATTGTTAACAAATGCTCCAGTGAGTATCTGTAAATACAGATACACACTCTCCAAAAAGACAGCTCAGATTTGGACCATAAGCTACTCAGTAAAACTCCTCGAGAAAGAAATGTCATTGCTTTTCTTGGTCAGTTGAAGTAGCACAAATAGTATGAAAATAACAGAAGATATTTATTCCAAACTATTTCTTCATAGGAAAAGAAAGTTAAAAAAAAAAAAATCAGCCATACCAACATAACACAATTTTACAAAGGCCCAGTGCAAATGAAAAGAGCCATGAAAACATTAACAGCATGTAGAAGTCTGCTGTAAAACTGCATAAAATTAAAGTAACTTTGTTCTGCAGATAAGGATTACAGCTGAATAGCCTGTTCACTGCTCCCTGAGATGTCGCAGAAGGTACTCAGCCAAACTACTAATTGACAGAATTTCTTTGTTTTCTGCAGCGACCGTAATTAACTGGCCATGGAAGTAGCTCGGGCAAAGTCCTCACCTCAGACTGCATTCAAGGGGAAGAGTTTCAGCCAGCGGCATATTATGGACCGTAGAAACAGCAGCCTGTGTAAGTGTGTCATAAAGACAAAACATGTGCTAGAAAGATGCCCCTCAGGACACGTAAACCCCCGAGGTCATTAGTTTCACTTCAGCTTTCAGGCAGCGCGGTTCTCCTCCGGAGGCTGGGTAACGACGCAGAGAAAGTCAACCCACAACTCCCAGCAAAGGCGAAAATTTCCAGGAACCTGCCACTGCTTTTGGGTGTGACAGACCCTCAGAGAGGTACAAATTGCACATAGGCCCTAGCACATACCATACACCCCACGCGCTGTCCGTATAGGGCAAAGCGCTGTAGCGTGAGCGGGAGCAAGAGCGAGGTTACATGGTTGGCTGAAATCAACCCGGGATCCATCCTTCCGCTGGTACCATCGATCACGCGGGAGTGTGGTAAGCTGGACCACAGGTTTAATTTAATCTTGCAAAACACGGGCGGGAAGATGGTTCCCAGAGCAGGAGAGCGAGCGCCCAGCTGCAGGGGAAGGAGGAGCCTGGGCTGCGCCCGGCAGCTGCCCGGCCCGCGACTCGCTCCAGCCAGTCCCACTGCCACACCTGAGAGCCCGAGCCCGGCCCTCGCAAGGTGTGCTCGCTTTTAGGGTGACGTTCCCAGAGCGCAGGAAGGACTGTGACAGCAGCCATTTCTAAGCAGCAGCGGCAGACCTGATGCTGTCCCCCCTGCCTTAACGCAGCCCTTCTCACTACTGCACTGCCTCTAATGCCTCGAATTATTCAGCAGAAAATGGTTTTAAAAGCTCTTTTTCTGCTCTCAGAAGCAACAGCACCAAAGTGACAGTTAATGCCATTCACGACAGAGGTTTTATTTAGTTCCTGAGACAGCCTGCTCCCACCCACACACTGTACGATGACACACTCTCCAGACAGGAATCTGGGAAATGTAACCTTCAGGATTTTTTCTCCCCCAAACGCAACGACTGTATGCGAAGCAGCAGAGCGCTCACAGCAAACCTGTTGAGCAGGAGAAGGCTGACCTTTTCCTAACGCTCCAGCACTAGGTGCGCTTTCTGGCTCAGAAATCCCCTGTTGGGACTGTAACAGCTCATTAGCAGCGTCATTGAGGGCTGTTCAAATTGTGACTTATTCATGGTCCAAGAAGGCACTTCAAATTTCTGCACAGATGAAAACGCAGCATCACCCAGCCAAAAAAAAGTCGGGCACCCCGAGAAGCCAGAAGGTTAAATTTTTCCGTGCCTCCGCAGTGGCAGGTCGTACAGTTTAACCCACCATTCTGTGACAAAAAGAGGAAGAGGCGGCCGAGTCCAGCTTGCACAAGGTGTGGCCGCTCTCGCCACACTCTCCTGCACAGCCTCCAGGCGAGACGTAGAGAGATGTAACTTCCACCTTCACTGGGCTAACACAGATCCAGAAATTAATCAGAGGGAAAGCAAGCATGCTGAAGGCATCCGTCATTGTACTTAATTAAACTCATGCACATATTATCAGGAAAACATTTTACATCAAAAATCTTCACTTTTCCACCAGAAAACGTGACAGAACTTACTACAGATAATCTGCTTAAACTGTTTGACCCTTGAGCATCCAGGAATTGTAAGGAATTTTCTAATCCTTTATATGGTTATGGAAGAAACCGAGCTAAATGCTTAATTTTATGCTGAAAACAATTCCCAGCTTTGTTTTTTTGTTTGGGAGAAGCTGGTTAACAGTGTGTGCAAACAAAATTACAACTGTCTTTTCATACTGGTTGGATTCTTTTCTGCTTTGCTCAGTGAGACTGTTGCATGCTATCAATTTATTTCCAAATACTGCGCTGTACAGAGGACCTCATGTAGTAAGGTCTGGACTAAACACTAGGATTAGGAATCAAGCTGAGCAAAGACAGGAAGATGTAGATGTTGCCCTTACTGGACGCTCTCATTTTGAGTTTCTCCAACACACTTTCAAGGACTCTGGGTTTTCATCATCAAAAATCACAACAGCTTTTGAAAAATGCAAGGTTTGTGCAAATGAGGTTGGAGGTCTTATACAGAGAGCAGTGAGCAGTCCTGCTTCCCTGATGAGTATCCTAAACCCCGGACTCTGTTCCGCAGGCATATGTCTCCAGAATCTGAATCCTGGTTTCAAAGGTGAGAAAACAATTCCTGTTTGTTCTACTGCATCACTAAACACACCATAGTAAAATAATTATCTAGGCTAGTTTCTGTGTTTGCTTATTGCTTTCTTACCTTTTAATGTTTCTTGATTTTAAGCTTTCTGCATAAGACACTGCCTTTAGATTTCTGCTTGGGTGGCATGGAGATGTCAGATCCTAACCAATACCAGCTAAAATAAATTCCAAAAGGCTGGAGAACATCAGCAAGTGGATGCTGCGTGCCGATCCTCCTGGAATATTTCTGGTGTGTGTAATTGTCTCAAGGTTTAGTGCATTGCATTATCTGTATTGTTGTTTGCAGAGGAAGGTGTGGTGGAATGTACTGCTCAAACAGAGACTGCTGTCCTCCATCCTGAGATAAGGAAGCTACAAAAAGAATTTGTGGTGGTGCAGGCAGCTGCCAATGCGATACGCAAACGATGATGCAAGTGCAGATCCAGCAGTCTCACCGGGTGGCTCCTGCACCCTCCCTACCCGAGCGGCTGCGTAAGCTCTGTTTGCCTTTTTCAAAATCTGGAGTGAAAAATGTAAATGAATCACGCAGCAAGAATCACACGACTGGTCTGAGCTTCAGCACTGCTCTTTGACACTGAAAGTTACATCTTGGCAGGCAGATAGGAAGGTTTAAACAGAGGTGGCACGGCTGCTGTCTGAGTCCTCAAATAATGGGGCACGTTAGTCTCGGTCATTCCTGTATGAATAAGATTTGCTACCTGCAGTGAACACGTCAAACCTAATACCTCACCGAAGTAAATGATTTGGCATAGAGAGAAACATGTTTTGAGCAAACCGTAGTTGACAAACATTGAGATTAGCTACCTCCATCCACACAATGCCTGCATCCACACAGGGTATTTCTATGCACATCACAGTTTCTTTACACTCCCAGATGCATTTAGAAAGCTTCCTCTCTTGCCTTACCATACGGACGCTACGCTGTGGGCCATATGTTCAATTCATTAACCAGAGTCTTAAGCCATGGAGCTTCCATTAATAGGAGTGCTTGATTACATAGTTGCAGCCTCATGTAGCCTTAAGTCTTAGCTAAAGACCCGTATTTCTTTGAGAAGATTGCTTTAAATTAGGTAGTTAAGAGCATAGCCATCATTTAAGGAACTGAAGGAAAAACTGATACCCAGCCATCTCCTGGCACCCAGTTTTCCTGGCATGCAGCAGCATTTTTCACTACAGGGTTTTTCTTAGTCACCACTCCCTTGTGCTGGAATCAAGGGGGGCCTCTCAGCATACCCAAAGAAAGAATTTGCCCCGTTGATTTGAATTCCTTTTAGATATTCCTCTAACCAAAGAAAATCCAAGCCTTATCTATCCTAGTAAAATCAAGTACACTCAGGAGCATTCCTGAGCAGCGGGGTGCAATTAACACCATGGCTAAAACCGCCGCAACGCTTCCCAGGGTGGGCCTGGCCCTCTCCAGGCAGCTGTCCTCCATGACCCCCCAGCACGCTCCACGGATGGAGAAGGGATGTCCCAGGCCTCGGGCCGGCAGGCAGCCTGCACACAGCCACCTGCATCCGGCGGCTGTGTTTACTAGCACAGAAACAGGCCAGCTGGCCACAGTGCCCGGGAATGTTCCTCAGCACAGCTAATTCGCCGTTACCGAGACGGTCTAAGGGGCTAGAGAACATCTAGTGCTCTGCGCCTGTCAGATTCAGGAGCTGGGAGCATGCTGCTGGAAGCTCTTAGCATCTCACCAGCAAGGAACCTTTGAAGGAGACTTCCTTTGATTCCTACTGAAACCAGTAACAAGATATTTTAATGCTGTCTGGATCCAGCTGAAGCAACAGCCTTTTTTTTTTTTTCTTTAATACTAAAAAGACATTTGCAGTGCTGAACCCTCAGTTTTACTGTACTTCAGTTGACACCAAAACACCAAAACCGAAACAAAAAAACCACAATGAATATTAATAAACACTTACAAGTCTTTCCCCTGAAAGAACTTCCAGAAGTTTGATGAGCATCCTTCCATCGCGCAGGTCAGTGTACAAATCTGTAATTCTGCATGATACACGTGCCAAGTGGGAATTAACCCACTTAGTGAAAGTCTTCTTCTGAACTGCCTCACGTTCATCTGTTAGGAAAACAACACAGTGTTACCCAAAATAAATCACAGTTCACACACCTACATGAAAATGGGATATTCAAACGTGTCTAATATTAAATGAAAGATATGGCTTGTCTTCTTACCAGAACCACTGAAGAAACTGGGGCTTTTCACTGAAAATCCACCTCTCTTCCTATTTTACGACGTTTCCTAATGTCAATGGGAATTTTACTGAGTTACTATCTATGGAATAAATCTGAGCTATAGATTGCAGACTTACTTGCTGTCAGATAAGCAGCTTTCCTGCAGTGTAAAGAGGTCCGTTGTAGTGCTACAACGTAAAAGCCCATTTGGACTCATCAAACTGTGAAGTAATTTGATCAAGAGTATTCTTCTACCACTAGAAGAACAGGCCAACTTCTGCTCTGGAATACGCACATAAATCCACAATAGATCCCCCAAAATACCAGAAGTCACTTTGGATTAAGATATATACAAAAGAGAGCAGAGACCAAAGCTTCCCATTTACTTTTTTGCCCTTCTCACCACATTATTTATTTGCAGATTCAACATTTGTAACTGTATTTACACAATGTCAAGATGAATTTTGCCACAACTTGAAGTAGACTTGCATTTATTGAAAGCCATAGAAAAACAGATTCTTTCCACCTTCCCTTCCCAGAGTCTTTCACAACTGTTTATACACAAAAACATTGGCTACAAGAGCTCTCTTAATGCACAGGCTCACTACAGTCCACGTTAATTCAGAAACTCCTAAACAGCTATCTGCCAAGCCGAGAACTGTCGGGCAGAAAATATTATATGTCTTTGTGGTTAAATTCTTTTGCCAAGGGCTTTGGATGAAGCCCTCCCTTGTTAGCAGAAAGTAATTTCTCTGAGCTGGGAACTACTACAGACCAAATCTGTCAAGATACAGGTGCTCAAGCTTGGACTCCAAAGTCTATAATTAGAGATATGAATGAAGGCAGCCTGCTCTTCCAAGCAGCTGAGCACCTAAACCTCCCATCGGTCTCTTTAACCTTGTTGGCACGTTCAGAAACAGGACATGAAGATTGGTAAATCCTAAACCAAAATCTAACGTGTCCAGCTCTGAAAAGTCCGAGTACAGTGTTTGAAACTCGGAAAACGTTAATGATGGTGCAGATCAATGCAGAGTTTATATCTGACTACCCAGGTTTCAGGGGATGCCACCCTTCAAAAGGAAGGACGTGCCCCATTCCTGGCAGCAGAGCATGGTGGGGCCCTGATGCCAGCACGTTCATAACCAGTTACAGCCTCCACACCCACAGGATCTCGGGAACAGCAGCAAAAGCCTGATTTTGGTGACAAGGAATGGCAAAGAAGCCGAAGCTGAAGAAAATACAAAGTTGTGAAACAAGTAAAAGAAAAAAAAGACAGTAAGAAAACAAATCAGATAGTAGAAGGGTGGTGAGGAGGAGGAATCTGACAGGGAGTGGGAGAGCAGACCAGCACTTCGGTGGCGGTTTGCCCAATTACATAAACCCCACCCTAAGATTTCAGTTCCTCCCATGTATTTCCGAATTTATTCTTGCTACCCAACCATGTGGTAGGACGTGACCAAAGCTAACGCACCAAAACCGTCCCATTGTAACAGCTTTTACCTACCTATAAGGTGTGAAATTAAGAAAACGAGGCTTGGAAAGATGAAAAAGGCAGGGTTTGTGATAAAGCCGCAGTGCGCTTCCAGCGAATTGACCGTTCGCGCTACTCGTTTGTCCCCGCTCTGTATGGAGCAGAAGATTGTGACGATACAGGAAGCGAGCAGGCAGCTCGCAACAACTGCGGCTCGCTTTCCAGGGCGCCGAGAGGAGCCAACCGCCGTTTCTCAAAAGCGCGTGCCCCCGGCTGCCCAAACCTCCGCCCCAGACCCCACCGACGCCGCGCGATGCGCGTGCCCTTTACCGCCAGAACATCGCGGCATCCGCAGCGCCGGGCTCCGCTGCGCATCGCTTTAATAGGCGCCGTGCGAACAGGAGAATGGCCAGTTCCTTCGAAAGCCCAAACTCTGCCCCTGCGAGACCGTCCTACAAAAACAAATACTGCCTTTGCAGCCAAAAGCTGCAGCATCTCCTAGCCATGTTGCGATTTGTACCAGTGGTGTAACCACATAGTTTGTTCAATCTTGGACCAAAGAACTGAAAACCCAACATATTTGACTGGTGGAAATAGTTGTCTATCCAAGTAAAGATTTAAATATAGTGTCTGCTAACCTTAACTATATAATTTATGAACTATTTATATGCTGGGAATGTTTTATCTGCAAATCTGCTTGTCTAGTAATCCATGCTTTCAGTTAAAGTATTTTTTGAAATGAGTCACAGAATAAAAACCTTGCAATAGTGGTGCTTTTTATAGAAAGTTCCAACAGAAATTACCACATCTCCCTTCACCAGCTTGAACAAGCCCCAAAACAGCTCAGCAAGTTTGTTTGTTTAATGACTGCAGTCTCTACACAGAAGCACAAGATTCAGAGATCCCTGTGGTTACATTCATTCCAAAGACAAATACGGATGTACAGGAACCTAAAAATAGAGTTGGATATAGAAAATATTATGTAAACCAAAAAAAGCTATCAAATATCATCATGAAGCCATCCATTAAAAAAAATCTTTGGTCAAAAGTTATGGTTATCAACAATCCTCCCAAACTGGGACCATGATAAAAGTAGTGGGTGGGAAAAGAACATCCCTGTGGTTTTAGTAAAAGACAATGAAGGGTCAGAGCCTAATTTTGAACAGATTAAAGACACGACATGGGAAATGCAGTGACGTGCCAAGTCAGGTTGGGAAAACTTTGGTGCCGCTGCATTAATTGATACCAGCTTCGGATTTTCTGTTGTTGAAAGCAAGTCAAAGGAAGTCAACAGATCAGCCGGCTGCAGGCAGCCCTTCCAGGAGAGGCAAGACGGGTCCCTCCTTGGGCCGGCGCCGATGTGGCCCAGGGGTCACTCTCCCAAAAAGGCTTCCCCGCCCCAGCCCGATTGGTGGCCCTAAAAGAGAACATGGAAGTGCATTCTTCAGGCAGCGGGATTCAGGGAAAAAACCCTGAGAAAGTCTCAGTGACTACTTTTCTTCTGTGTTGCCTCAGCATCCTTAAGTGCACCGAATTATCGGTGAAGGAGAGGATGGAAACAGAGCTCTCCTCATCTAGCTGGAGGCCCTCTGTGCTTTGGTAGTTAATGCTTGGTGCTGTTACGTGTGTTTTCTTTAGTCTAGTTCAAACTCAATTGCTGCCTCTCCCCTTCTGCCTTCCCGTTTCCTCCGTCTTGCTCTCTGTGGCCCTCGATTTCCTGTTTACAGCAAGAGATTCAAGGGCTTGGTTGGTTTTTCTGGCTCCTCACCTCCCCACCCGCTCTTGTCTTCGCTCCTCTCACCTGATCCCCACCCATCCTCTGCAGCACCGTCCTCCTCCCTGCTCACCCCACCAGATAAAAATAGTGTGAAAATCTCTACCGAGACCACAGCTGTGATGGTTTCAGCACTAACTGCACATGCTGAGCCTGCTGTTGGCTCTTCACAAGCATCTGAGTGACTTCATTGCTGTAGACTTCAAGCACTTTTCTTCCCACCTCTCCTCTTTTCCTCCGACTCACAGCGAGAACAGCTGAAAGCGATCCCTAGCTGCAGCCTCCAGCCCCGTGGGAAAACCCTGCGGCACCACGCGAGAGCCAGGCTTTTTTCACTGCCAGCTTTTGGGGACAACCAGCAACTTATCTCAGAGAAATGCCACCGGAGAGACACAGCAGCTCTTTCAGTCTCCTAATGGGCCGGTCAGCCAGGAAGGCCACTCTTTATCATGCGCTTGGCACAGGCGGAGCGCAGCTCTCCAATTCCCCGCTGACACTATTAGCGATAGAAACACCAGAAGGGAGAAGGCGCGGTCGCTCTTACCCCCGCATCGCTTAACTCCTGTTGTGTTCCCACAACGTGGGAAAGCAAAACAAGCCCGTTTTGAAAGTTGCGTGGCTGGGGCTGGTCGTGTCAAAACCTCTCCTGATTATTTCTACATGGTGTTTCACAATGACTGCAGGTTTTTGCAATGCCTTTACCAACCCCTTCAAACTGATAAACTGTATTTTTCTGGTCTGGGGTTTCAGGTTATAACAGGCACAGAATTAAAACCAATGAATTTTGGTTATATGTTTCAGAGAAAGAAACATAGGTACAGAAAAGCTGTACTTACAGCTCTGGCAATTCGGCTAAGCACACAACTATGACTCTTTCAACATGCAGCACTGTGTAAAAACCTACACGCTGAGGGCCAGGTGAGTCCATGAGTGATGACACCAGGGATTTAGCATCAGCCATGGGGCCTGAAGCACTATTTAGGAATCTCATGTGATTGTTTTGACAACCGTCCTTCATACTTTCAAAAACACAGTTTTAGATTTGGAAGATTAATTCAAACTAGAGGATATGGGTGGAGCTCTAACTGTCCTACAGCTTGTGAAAACATTTGTTTCCCAAGGGTAAAGAGAAATGTGCAACGTGTAAAACATGCACAGCAGGAAAACGGAAGCTGCTCTAACAGCAGTATTGATAATAGAGAATCCAACTTATCTTGAAGCAACACTGGGAAGGAAATTTCCTTTATGCGGAAACCCCCATGACAATACTACTAGCATACAGCGGCTTGCAAACCCCAGCTCTGTGATTATGATAACTCAAGGACTGACTTTGTTTAGGAGTTTAGTAAATAAACCCGAGTTTGTACACTGAAGTTCACGTAAACCAGGGCTGGACAGGGTCACAAGCAGGCATGTAGCCCCTTCCCTGCCTGAGGAGAGTAATTCCTTTCTCTACTAATTGGATGAGGAAAAAACCCTAACACAAATGTAGTCAGCTTTCTGAAAGACCAGAGCCTGGAGTGTCAGTGGCTGAATCCCCAGCGCCGGACAGCGGGAGGGGGGTCGCGTACACCGTCCTCCCTCCATCACACGCTCCACTCCGCTGAGAGAACTCAATAGGGCCGCGCCAGAATAATGG